TATATATATAGTGCTGCTTTAGAAAGCAGTTGTTTCAATGAATTATAACATGCACCTCCACTATATATGTAACCATGGAATTACACTTATATGTATGTATGCATATATCCATACGGAAAATGAAGCTCTACCATTTCTTTGAATCTGCAATGGAAAAGAGGACAAAATCTAAAGTGTAATTCCATGGTTACATGAAATGATGGGGAAAGTGTAGAGAGCACAGTAGCATAAAATACAAAGATTAGGATTACAGGGGGCTGGGGGTTCAATCCCCAGGCCTGCCGTGCCAGTGCCAGTCCCACCCCCGGGGGCACCCTGAGATGGCAATTGAGACTGGGCGTGGTGGCGCGTGCCTGTAATCCCAGCTCTTGGGAGGCTGTAAACAGGCAGATCACTACGAGTCTGATCTAGTAGTAAGACCCTGAGCACCCTGTAGACCCTTCCCTAAAAAATACAAAAAAATAAACTCTGAAGATCTGTATGGTGGTAGTTGTTTGTTTTAGGTACCACAAAGGTATTAGCAGTAATTAGAGGGAATGGCTGCCAAAATTATATATATATGAGAGAGAGACACATACTGTCTTATATATATGATACTTCATGTATCATTTAGAAGCGATCTGCTATATCATGAGAAAACTTTCTTTCATAAAAGAAAGTATTTTAGCTCAATATAATTATGAGCAGCTGAGTCAAGAGGAATTTGGAAAATGGTGATAGAGAATCTGGCACAGTTCAACTCAGTGAGTGCCTTAAATAGCTGCTTTCTTGTAGGAGAAGCTGCTTTCATACATACTCAGATAGAATCTTTCTAGTGAAAATGAAACTCAGAGTGTCTGCAGCTGGCAGCCCACTAAGATTCTCAATGAGAAGCCACCGCCTAGACTCTGCTGAGTAGTCCTCCAAACCCCTGTCCACAGGAGCTCAAGTGGACACGCACCAGGAAACATCCAGGGACAGTTAATGCTATTTCAATTCTTAGGATAAAACAAAAAAGGGATCTTCAACTTTTCTAACCAAGCTAGAAATATATTAACATATCGGTGGTGATTCACACATAATACTTCATTTGTTATCTTCAAATTAGCTATCCAGAGATTGCTGAAATTTGAAGATTTCTTTCCAATTTACATAAGTAGAAAGGCTAAAGATAATGAAAGACAATTTAGCAACTATTTCTTATTTTGAGGCAGAATCTCAGTAACTTTTTAAACTGCTCAGGCTGGGCTTCAACCTCTGACCCTCCTGCCTCAGCTTCCCAGAGTACTGAGATTATAGGTATTTGTCACCATGTGTGACTTTTGTAGGACTTTGTACTTATTAAAAGTCTATGTTTCATGATTAGCATTTTGTCCCTAATCAGGGTATAGTAAAAACAATCAGCAGCTCACAAACGTATGCTTCCCCCTCACCTGGCACCCTTTTAAAAGTAGTCACAAAGCACTTGTTTTCAATAGATGGTTTCTAAAAGAATAGACAATAGTTTTAACATTTGGGGTGGGGTATTATTTTGAGGGGAAATGAGGCAGAATAAAAATGAAGAGCAGTTAATCTGAAGACCCTGCCTATGGTAATGGTAACGGTAATAAGCAGCACACCATAATTTTACAAGGGACTCTATTCAGATGGCTGTCCCGCCCCACCCCACTGAGGGTTGCTCTGTTCTGCCCAGGGTTGCTTCACCATGGGACAACATCCCAGTCTTTTCAGAGACCAGATCTTGTTAATTTAAAGTTGCCCAAGCTACAGATTCAGACTTGCAATCTTCCTGCCTCAGTCTCCCAAGTAGCTGAGGTTGCTGGCATTCATCATACGCAGAAGTCTTCAAAACCCCACATTTTATGATGGCAGTCAAAAATCAACGCAGATGCAGCGCCCTCTAAGTTTAATTCAAGATTTTAATCCCAGCACTACATGACAGGCCTGCTGTTATCAAAATAGAGAAAATGGAAGCTTTTCATATGAGAAAGTTTGGGATTTTAATAAATTATCATGTCTCTACATTTTAGAGTTCCCTTCCAAAACGATGGATTATTCCCTCTCTTGGATTACTAGTCTCTTAGACACATCGTAGGGAAAAAGAAGAAGGAAACAAAACATGTGGGTTCTTTCATTGTGTAAAAACATTGTTTAAAAACTACTCAGAAGACACCAAAATCAATGACAAATAGATTCTTAAAATTACAAATGTTAAGAGAATTTTAGAAAAAAATGTATTTTATACTAAGAAAGAATAGCTACAGTTAATTTTATGTTATAATTTGAGCTATTCAAAGTTTTGGGAAATAAGTTTTCTAAGCAGATGAAAAATACTTGGAAAGTATTTCTGTTTACTGGAAAACAGAATGTATATTCCAGGTGTTGTGAACAGCCAGTATTGACTATGCAAGCTGAAGGAATAGCTAGAGGGGAGGCCAGAGGATAAGCTCAGACCACATCCTGCTTGAGAAGGCTTTTAGAGATGACTCTGGATGGGCCAGGAATCCAGTGAGCAAAGAGAAGTGGGGCGAGACACAAACTTACCTCTTGACTTACAGCTCGGTATTTGTCAAAGTTTGGGGGCACTATAATGAGATGGGGGCAGAGTCGCTTAGCAATAAATCCTGGCATGGCCGCACGAACACCAAACCTCCGTGCATGGTAATTTGAAGTAGACTGAAAAAGAATTGACCACATGGGAAAAGTAAACAAACCTCAATGGACGTACCAATGAATGCATTCACAAGAAACACATTACTGATGTTCATTATCAATTCAAGGGCACTTCTTTCATGAACCACTGTCCTGCAGCACCTTCTGACTTTGTGGTACTGTGATTACCACAACCTTCACTCACTGCTCCTTGTCACTCTCCTTATAAGGAGATACTAGCTGGTCTGACAATAGCAAATGATGCTACATCAAAGTAAAAGTATACTGTATGAGTAATATAGAATAGTTATAAATAGGACAGTACTAATAGCGTAGCTATTGTATGAGAATTAAAATGACTATTACTTGTTAAATTTAATCTCATTCATATATATATATATATATATGAATTTCTTACTTGAAATTCAAAGAAATACAAAACAGAATCTACCCAATGAAGAAACTAATTTAGAATATTAAATGTCCTTTAATGGTTTTCAAAAGGCATTTTAAAAATCTTGATAGTACTTGGTGCTAATACTTGGCAAGAGTCTATGCCAAAAGTCATAAAAGTCAATAAAAATAATAGTCTAGAAAATTATGATATAGGTTAAGTATCCTTAGAAACAAGGACTGTTTAATCTGAAGTATACTTTTAGAATTTTCCCTATTTGGAATTTTGAAAAAATTTCTACCTCAAACAAAAAGTCAAAGGTCTAATATTTGGTTAAAACTAGGTCTCTTAAAAAAGCGAATGAAGCTTAAATAGAACTTCAAATTTTATGTTTTACTTGTTAAGATTTCAATATGTTTTCTGACTAGGAGATAGGATTAAAAAATAATAATTAAAATGACTATTACTTGTTAAATCATATTGGTGCTGATACTTGACGAGAGCCTAGGCAAGAAGTCACAGAACATGGCACCAGTTATTTTAAAATTTCATCATAAATTAGTTGTGGTGGCACATGCCTGTAATCCCAGTACTGTGAGAGGACAATGCAGTCGATCCCAAGTTCAAGTTCACCCTGGACAACTTAGTGACCTAACAAGACCTCGTCTTATAATTTAAAAGAAAAAAAAAAAAAAAAGCTGATGTCAGTGCAAAGACCTGGATTTAATCTCATTCATATATATATGAATTTCTTACTTGAAATTCAAAGAAATACAAAACAGAATCTATCCAATGAAGAAACTAATTCAGAATATTAAATTTCCCTTAATGGTTTTCAAAAGGCATTTTAAAAATTTCGATAGTACTTAAAGCTATGCTAATTCCTGGTCAGCATTCTAAAAGGGAACATGCAGACAGTGCTAGAAAAACAAATTTAATGTAATTGATATGAAAGCTAGATTTATAGTAGAGTAGAGAAAATTTTATGTATGAATTCCTCTAATTTTTGAGTTGCAGTAGGCAACAGAACACAGCCCGAATGTTTTTCAGCTTTTTGTTCTTGCCTGGCACTGAGACTGACCCCGGGGAGCTCACTCTGCAGTCCCATCCACGCCCCCAGCCACTGGCTCCCTTTGAGTCTTGCTAAGTTGCCCAGCGCGGCCCCCGATGTGCAGTCAAGCGGGATGGAGTCCAGCTATCTCCACAGAACTCTGCTCAAATGCCAGAATCATGAGAAAGCGCATGGTGACCTGCTGAAAGGGTTCTTCTACTGTAACAGAAACTGCTGCCCGGGCTAAGCGACTGGTCTTAGTGCCAACTCAAACCATTTCAAAAATGCATCAAACTTACCAAAAAAGAATTTCATGCATAACAGACTTAAGCAAACATGTCATCACTTCCATTAACTTGTACAGACTTTTATGATTTATTATGATAAAACAGCCACGCTTCAATTTTCTTTAGAAGGGAATTCTTTTACTAGTTCAGTGTACAGAAAGAGTAATCCTTTTAGCTTAAATATAGCAAATAATAATTTTGAATTTGGAAACACAACCAATTTTGAGGAAGGCAGAAATTATCAGAAAGAAAATACTCTGGATTTCAAGAACAATGATTTAGTTGTAGCATGACTATAGTATGTGTATATGTATACACACATATATAAACATATACACACAATGGAATATTATACCTTCTTTATAGAATCAAGTATCTTTTTCCAAATATTTATTGGTGACTTATAGGAAAGGGGAGTAAGTGTCCTTTGAACAGACACTGTTTTAGAACCAGACTTGTCAGCTGTCTGAATATTCATGGTAACAAGAGATAAAGAACTCAAAAAAAAAAAAAAAAGAACAACTGAATTATTGTTTTATAATAAGATAATAACTCAGTAAGGATTGGGTTTTTAGCTATCTAAGGCACTAGGAGAAGTCAGAGATAGGAAAGAATTTCCCTTGAGCTCTCTAGTATTTTTTTTTTAGTACTAAAACCCACCTATCCTAGCTTCTATTTTTCATTTTCAACAGTTTCAGCCATATACAGCTAGCCTAGTAATGTTTACCTTCTAGGGTTAGTGCAACAAAAAGAACAACAAAGCAATCAGAAGAGCAAAGATTGAGTGATGATGGGAACAATTATTTAACTGCACTAAATGCACTACATTAATAAAATATGTCAGTCCAGTATTAGGCTTGGCAAGCTTTTTCTATAAAAGTCCAGATAGCAAATACTCTTAGTATGAGATCATACTGCTTTTGCAGTTACTCAATTCTGCTTGTTTAGTGCAACAATAGTAATAAATAAATGGCTGTGTCTTTGTTCCAATAAAATTTATTTACAAGAAGGGCAGGCTAGACATGGCCTCCAGGCTCTAGTCTGAAAAACCTCTACTTCAGAATAACATTTTCATTTCTTTCTTCTATTCTCTTTAACAAGGACACTCATGAAAAATTTAATTAGCAATGGAAAGCTACAGCATTGTTTTACCTGGTTTGTAACTCGGCCAGTGATTAATAGTCTCTCTATGTTTATTTTCTTTTCTGTCAAGTGGAATTAAAAATTAGTACCTGGAGGTATATTGAAAGGACTCAGTACCTGAAGATGTAGAAGGTACCCAGAAAAATACTCAACAAACTGGTAGGTCTCGGTGAAGTCCCTTCCTTCATGAACCAACAGGCTTACTCACATGTATTGCAAAATGCCCTTTTTGTCCTTGATCTTTACCCACTTACCAACATACTCATGGATCCTACAGCAATGGGTTTATCCTTCAGTTCTGGGTTGTCCCTCATTTCTACGGCAGCATAGAAAGCATCCATATCAACATGCACTATGGTATTGTTCAAATCCCGGCGGTGTTCTATTTCCATTGCAAATCTGTCAACCTTAATTTTAAAAAGTTATTTTTTTTGGATAACATAATACTTAAACATCATTAATTGTAACATGAATTTTAATCCAGCAGTTATCTGTTTGCCTACCTATGCATCTAGTTACTCACTTAGGGATGCATATTTTATTGTTTAGTGGTATTTGTGGGTACACAAATTACTGTTGTTTATTAAGGATGGTAATTGCTTGTAGTTCACAAATACACCCTGTTCTCAGGTATCAATCCCTAACAACTGTTTTGTCCTAACTCCTAAGCATATAACTGAACTTAATTACTTATTCAACAAATGAATGATTTCAACTCCTTTTATCAAATGATTCTACTGCCTTTAAATTTGGGGAACTGCATGTACCTAAAAGTTTCAATTTGAATAAGAGAACTCCCATTTGATTCATAATGTTAAATTCTTAAAATAGCAGCAAAGGAAATGTAAAAAAGAAAAGATTATATGTCTCCGGCATATGGTGTTACATTGCATAGTAATGTACAGCAAAACACACTGAAGTATAAATACTTCCTCTGTAAAAATGATTTTATAATGCTATAATTTGATAAACGATAGTCTACAGACATAAAAATAGAAAACATAAAGCTGCAATTTATCTTTCTTAATTGCAATAAGTATATCAAATCTAACCATGATGAATCTTAGTTCTTAAAAAACTTTTAGTCAGATATGGTGGTGCATGCCTATACTATCAACACTATGAGAGACTTAGAACCTGTCTTACAATAAAAACATTTTTTAAAAAGGAGCTGGTGCTAGAGCTCATTGTAAAGGACCTTTGTTAAATTCTCAGGTAAAAAGAAAAAGAGTGAGGGAGGGAAGGAGGGAGAGAAGGAAAGAGATAGGAAGGAAGGAAGGAGAGAAGGAAAGAGGAAGGAAGGAAGGAAGGAAGGAAGGAAGGAAGGAAGGAAGGAAGGAAGGAAAGAAAGGAAAGCAAAAGAAAGGAAAGGAAAGGAAGAGAAATGACCAAACTAGGCATGTAAGGGAAGGTTTTAATGAGCACATGTACTAATTTGTGGCTGGGGCTTTTTGTGGCCAGTTTCTACTGATGCTAAATACTTACTTTCCTAGTTTACCCTGTTGTTGACAGCCTTGGTCTCTATGAGATGTAAGCAAGTTACTGATACCACTAAAGTCAACTCTTAAGAGAAGGAAGCTCCTAAACAAGCCAAAGCATGTAAAAAGCACAAACAGTGCTTGGCACGTGGTACAAGTTCAATACATTGAGAGCAACAACAAAAAGATCAGTGGCGGATTAAAGTGCCTGCACAGATTAAAGCACTTGCAAGCAGGTACAGGGGCCATGGGTTTAATCCCAGGGCCTGCTGTGCCAACCCCGGCCCTGGGGTGCACTGAGCCGGCAATTGAGACAGGGCATGTTAGCACAAGCCTGTAATCCCAGCTCTTGGGAGGCTGTAAACAGGTAGATCACTATGAGTCTGATCTCGTAATGAGACCCTGAACACCCTGTAGACCCTTCCCTAAAATAAAAAAAAAAAAAAAAAGATCAGTGGATAGCTGTTACTCAGCAATCAAACACCTGGGGAAGAATGGCCAAAAATAAGCAAGTGGGGCAAGCTCTGGGAAGAGCAATCTCCATCACGCAGATCCTGACAGGAGTTTCGTCAAAGGTCGGACCTCAAAGGTGCAAGGTGGCTTCCTTCCCATGCTGGACATCAACCTTGTCTCCACTCTGCTGAATTCTTTTCTCATAGCCTTCCTCCTAGCATTACTGTGACAGTAGCTGTCCCTGCCGCCCCAGCTGTAGGTGACAACTAAAAGTCCTCCTGAGGACGCAACCATACTGAATCATGTTTGTCTGCAGTAGCTGCAATGAGGCTCTCCAGAGGCTGCGCCTCCTTAGCCTACACCTGCGTGCGCACCTTGAGGGGCTGTGCACCTCCCTCGGGCTGTCCCTGTCCCAAGCCGCCTTGGGCGATCATGTCTCTCTTAATAGTCTTCCATGCCACAGAATTCAATGCTCTTATTTCCTGCTCTTACTATGGAACTTACTATATTAGAAACATTAGATCTTAAATGGTGTGTTTCTTCAAAAGAAAGATTTGCCTTTATATCTTTCCCCACAAGAAGAGGCAGTACTGGTAGAAGAAATAAAATTTAAGCCAATATAAAACACTATTAGAAAAATTTTGGAGAAGGCTAACTTCTTACAGTGAGGCACTTTACCTAATAAATAAAGCTTTTCAATTTTACTCTAACTTATTATGCTCATTTCCAAGTCTTTCTTTTAGTACTTTGACTTGGAAGATGGATTGACCGATTTGCTACAGGGTCTCAGTAAATAGCTCAGACTCAGTGATCCTTCTGTCTCAGCCTTCCCGGCATGGGGATTATAGGCATGTGTCACCATGTCCAGTTTCAGTGGTCAGCATGGGGCTGGCACAGCATGCAGTAGCAGGGATTGAACTCAGGTCCTTGCACTTGCCAGGCAGGTGCTTAGACCACAGAGCTATCTCCTTGGTCCCAGTACTTTAATTTTGAACTAGAGAATAGCATCCTGACTAGATAAAATGAACCATGTAGACAAAAACAAAGGTTGACTAAAAACTAATCTACATTAATCCAGAACATATACCTGAAACGTGAACTGAGTAAGAATAAGGGAGTGGTGTCTTAAAATACTTTGACATGGAAAAATCCAGAAAAGAAGAGAATAGAAAGCAAAAATCCTCCTCCAGTTCATGTATCAACGCTATGACAGGTTCCTCGGCAATCTATCCTTTTTCTTGTGGTTAAGGCTAGTTGTGCAGTTGCCAAAGGAAACCTCCCCACCGCATGACACATACATTCCACTTTCCTTACTGTCATTAGTCACCATCCTCTGAATGCTTCTCTTTCCACACCTACCGGATACGCCCCACATCACCATATTTTTAAGTTCCTTTTACCAAAGTACTCACTCACGATGTCCTTTCTTCCGTTTTTCCCTCCTAATGCCTTTCAAGGGCTGATCACAACCTGCAACATGGATATGGTTCCCTTACTATTGCTGAGAACCAGTGTGTGTCATGGAGATTAAGAAGAGGGACTTGGCTTTGGGTCCTCGCACGCAGTGACAGGCCAGCAGTGCTTCTCCCCTCATGGTTACTTTCCTTACTTGTAAAGTGGAACTAAGCCATTGCAACAATCGCAAAAGATTGTTGAAAGAATTAAAAGTGACACTCATATAACACTTACCTAGCGAGACTTACACTAGGTCTAACACTTACAGTAAGAGCTTAAGGATAGTAACTCTAATTTTAAAAGAAGCGGCATTTATTGAGTACATTATATGTGTCACCTAATACAGTATTTCCTTTATTGACTCAAAATAAACAAGATTGATGTCAAAATAACCCTGAGAATCTAATTATTACTTCTGCTTTATAAATGAAGAAACTAAAACTCAGTAAGATTAAGTAATTTGCTTTGAGTTGCACAGCTGGTAAATGGTCACGCTAGATTTGCAAAAGAAGTTACTCCAAACCCATATGCTTTCTATTACCTTATGATGTTTCCCTAAATAGACTTTTAAAGGTCTTTAACATGGAAATAAAGCTCAAATTAAAATTTAATGGTATATTTAGTATTTATATTATGGCTGATTTACTTTAAAAATCTTTGACTTCTTTACTTTAAAAATCCTTGACTTAGAATTTCCTTAAGGACCATTGTGTAAATCTGAGTTAATAAAGTCAACCGTTAAAGCAGTCAAAATGTATGGATTTGCTGCTGTACAGCTGCTTTTACTTTGGTACCAGGGACAGAATTCAGGACCTTGTGCTTACCAGCCAGGCGCTTAAGCCACTAAGCTATCTCCCAGCCAATTCCCTTTTAATATAACACGAATGTTTGTTTATTCAGTTTATGAACTGCTGTTGTTAGAAGCTGTGTTTGTGCTTTGCAGGTCTGCTGAGGACAAGGTAGAGCAGAGAGCCTCAGACAGGGGCTGCATCCACGTCCAGGGTGCTCGTGCTTGGAGCTCAGCTTCAGCCAGATCGGAATAGTCCACACTATCCTACCACACGTAAGAGAAGGGAGTGCTTAGAAATTTTATGACTCTAAACTACAAAAACATTTTGCATGAAAACATCTCTGATCTCCCAGACCTTCTTGACTACTGAGGACTTCCTCCATCTCCTCCCATTTATTCAAGTTCTTTTAGAGGAAGTTCCACAAATGAAACAATCCAACAATCAACATAAAACACATTTCCTGCCATTCCTGTTGCGAAAGATGTCAGAGAGCCTTCCGTGAAATATTTGACTAAAACTGGAACAAAATTTCAAGTTCTGATATGCAATAGGAGGCACTCTGTACTCCAGATTATCGGCACATAAAGAGAGGCTTTGAAGAGCAAGTACAGCAAGAACATTGTTAGATATCACACTCATAGGTTCCTTTGTGTCTTTCAAACTTTTATTAAAGATATTTGTAATTACAGATGATTACAATTAACTCAAGTGTCTAGAAAATAAACTGCTGAATGAATAAGATCAATTTTAAAAGTTGCTTAAAGTTTTTAAAAACTTGGTTACGATGTTTATGTGTATTTGAAACAAATGATGCAAAAGTAAAACTAAAACTTTTAAAGAAAAGTTGAGAGAGAATAGTAAATCATAATTTTACTTTTCAGTAATTATAATTATGTGGTACAGATATAGGAAAAGACTCAATTAAGAAGAGAGAGTCCAGAAACAACCCAAAGGACCATAAGAATTTAGCTTAGGAAAAATATGATACCAGTTAAGAAAAAAACTACACATTTTACATGAAAACAAATTTTAGTTTCTCCTCCATAAAAGACACTATCAAGAGAGTAAAGAAACAAGCTACAGATTGGGAGAAAATATTGTAGAAAGATATAGCTGGGATAGGGCTAATATCCAAACTATATGATGAATTCTTAAAACTCAACAATGAGAAAATAATCCGATTTAAAAAAGGGCCCGAGCTGAGCGTAGTGTTAAACATCTGTAACCCAA